AAAAAAAAAATTAAAATCGATTTTTTATAAGATACGTATCTCTTACATGACTCTATAAATCCATGCATGTTTCAATTAGTGCAAGCATTCATTTATCTATAAATTGTTTTATTCTGTACTTTGACGTGCCTCAGTTTATTCCTGTTTAAAATACGCATTGGACAATGTTTGTGTTCTTGCGCCTGCGCAATGCAACGTTGTCAAGGACTTAGTCCTGCGACTAAGCGTATCTTTTACGACTACACTTACGCCACTTGTTGAAACGCAAATTACGCCCGACTAAATTTTGGCGTAAGCCCCGGAAGTACGCTTAAGTTAAGGCTTAACTTTACGACTTTTGATGAAACGGGCCCCTGATCTATAGGAAATATATGCAACATGGGTCGACGTTTTTTTATTTCTTAATATGTACATTTGTGGTATCTTGCCACTATATAAACGTACAGAGAGAAAATATCTTCAATTCTGTATGAAGTTTGTCAGAGCTCAATACGTGACCTAATCACACGGCGCAATAATATCTACCGGTACATCAATATGACATTACTTGCCCTACATGTATAAAAATGAACAAAATAAGCAAGTAAAACAATTTTTTTTATTTATAACGTGAACAAGTACTTCATACATTTTTGGCGATCGATTTAACCTGTGTACATAGAGAATATACCGATAGAAACTAGCATTTGTTTACAAGTTGTAGGTCACTTTCGTAAGCTGCACAGTCTCAAACTTTTTCGTTTATCTTTATTTTTGTTAGACCCTAAGTTAAATCTTCATGATATAGGCTAAAACTATATTTTCCATTAAATTCTACTCACGATAAATGTGTAAATCTGTTGGAAAATATCAATTGAAAGCATTGCAATCACGCCACGAACAGCTGAAAAAAAATCTCGATCGGCGCTGTCTTACTTCATTTTAAACTGTCTCCAGTGTCTCCGTGTTAGCATCATCAATATGCCTTTAGTTACTGAAATCGTAGATTAAATGTTGTCGATCAAATTAAGTACTTCATTGCAAATTATCTGGCTCGAATAAGTGTCTCAATCCATCGGATCCATCCATCCCTTTCAGGCGACCGAAATTCCTCCAACTTTTTATCATCAAACTTCGTCGGTGTTTCTTGTTTCTTTTCAGCATGAATGATCAATTTTCACAAATAAAAATATTCCCAGAGAAGAATCTGTTTTCTATTACTAATCACAAGTAGCCTTTAACTAAATATTCCCTTCGAAATAGAATTCTTAGCCTGACGAATTCGAAGCGTAACCGCCTTTCAAGCCGATTTACACCTTGCGTACTTTTGACGAAAATCTACGGCGACCGGTAATATGCAATATTTATATCATAATATATTTAATTTAATATTTAATTGTCCATCTCAAATGGATATATAAGTAATAAATAACAAGTTTATAAACTTCAATGGGAATTGAAGTGGGTCGGTACGTGATCAAATCTTCTGAGAAGGCCTTCGGCGTTTTCAAGCGGGGAGGGGAGAAAATAAATTATTTTGACTTTTATTTTTGATCCACCTAGAGTGTGAACGTTGGTGCTACACATTTTCAATATCTGATTACGTGACTGTGTGACCGTGTACCCAAACCATTGACACATCAATATGCAATTGAAGAGAAAAAATTTTATATTTGTAAAATATCTATTTCGTTTTTAAATCCTTAGTGTTTGTCTAATGCAAATTTTCACCGAAAAACATTCACTAGAGAGAAAAATACATACAGTATCTCAAGAACTTGATCATATTGTACATTTCAGCAATTACCTGTTCAATGTTTCATAAAACATAATTATTCATAATGTACATTTCAGCAATTACCTGTTCAATGTTTCATAAAACATAATTATTCATGATGTACATTTCAGCAATTACCTGTTCAATGTTTCATAAAACATAATTATTCATGATGTACATTTCAGCAATTACCTGCTCAATGTTTCATGAAACATATTTTATAACATTGTATGTCAGCAGCTACCTTTTCAATGTTTCGTGAAATATGGAGATAACAAACAATAATCACGCAATTGCAATATTACATGCAGATCGCGAGCAAAGCAAACAGCAAAGCAAACACAAAACCCTATAAACCTTTGGAATATGTCCCAAGAAGGACTTATCATTCCCTGTTCACCACTTATAACCACCTTGTGCTCATTGTCATGATAGGACAAACAGAACAACTGTTACGGTAATTAGTTCATAGTTTAAAATAATGATCTTCAAATAAGTAAAAAGAAAAGTCTGTGAGCAGTCGGTTAATTCTTAAAGTAAACCTCATTTTATGATTAGTATCTACAATGTTGTTTTATTGTTGATTTATAAATATTGAGATATTGCTGTCTTGTGTACATGTATGCAGCTTATTTGCTGTTGTATAGTATATGACCAATTCCCATTGAATGGTATGAATGTTCATTGTTTTTATGCCGAACAATAGTTCATAATAAAAATTGCAGTGATACGCTTAATCATTGTTGGGTTTTTATTATAAATATTCTTTGGTAAAAGCAATGGGACATTTTATTGTATTATCTTCCTTGATTCTGACGAAGCAATATAATATATTGATTGTACATGTATATTGATTAATAGGTTTATAGATTTTATGCTAAATATGCTAAACATCTATAATTTCCTATTTCATTATAGGGTTTTGATCTTTTTGAATGTTTGACTAAAAAAAAAAACATTTAATATGCTTTTGAAAAAAAAACACAGATGCATCATAAATGCAACATGTGCTACAAGGTTAGTAAGAACAAACAAAAAGCTGAAAGTTTAGAACTTCAAACAATACATCATTTATAGAACTTCCCAGTGGTAAATTAATCGATCAACGATATGTAACAACAATATTATTCGCTTCTCCCAATTCGGATGTTTTAGAAATGCTTTTATTAATATATGTTACAATGTAATTTTTGTAATACTAAGTATCCTGGCCTGGGATAGTAAAATATTACAAATGGGTACGCATAATAATTAATAAACTAAAAAATGTTTGATTAATAAAAGTTTGTGCTTGCTTCAGAAAGAAATATCATATTCCCTTCGGGCGCTGCCCTCGGGGATTATTAATTTTTCTTGGCTGAATAAATCTTCATATTTCACTCACTACCTTGCAATAAATGTATAATGTACATTTCAGCAATTACATGTTAGAGGTTTTATGAAACATATCTAATATTGAACATTTCAGCAATTACCTGTTCAATGTTTCATGATATATTGGAGATAAGAAACCGGAATAAAGCTCAAATTTAATTGAAACATATCATGTAAATTGCGAGTAAAAAATTAAAGCAAACACAAACCTCTATAAAATTATTGATCAAGTCTAAAGAAGAACTTATTATCCCATCTCCGCTAGTTATAACCACCTTATGCTCATTGTCGTGATCACACAAAAAGCAATGTAGCTTATTCAGCTTTTAAATAATGATCTTTAAATAAGTGAGAAAAACTTAACTGAGCAGTTGCCTTAATGATGGATTTTATTTGCTGACATTTTTATTTTATTTATATTTATATTAATAAAATATTTTAATTATTTATTTATTTTTATTTATTTGACTTGATTTTTTTTGCTGATTGCAACGTTTGACATGCCATAGGAATTAACATATTAAGCTCTTTTGTATATCTTACACACGAGGCAATCGCTGTATTTATTTGCTAAAAATTAGTTTTAATATTTTACAATTGATGTAAAATTTTCTTGGACCTCTGTTAGGTACATGTACATGTAAATCGGTCTAGTGTACTCAAGGGCGATCTTTAGGAGTTGGCTGTTAAGTTCAAGTAATTTTTTTTCTTTAATTTTGGTATTTATTTCCATTCTTTTCTTTTTATGTCTTTCTAATTGTTTCTTTTATTGAGAAGAGCCAGAGTGTCTGAAAATTATCTTTTTTTAAAACCTTTCCGAGAAAAACAAAGCCCATATATTTTGGAGGTTGAACAACCCCCTCCCCACCCACCTTTCTACTCTCAATATTTTTGGTGACGTACTTACATTTCAAGTCTTATTATATATGAACAACACATCTTTGTAAATAACATGGAATGACAATTATAGTACTCTTCTTAGAGTTTGTTTTTTTTGAAAATATAATTTACTAGCCAATTTGAGGATTCATAGATGATCAATTTTTCTCGCTGAATCTACTTTTATATATTATTTAAAAATTCAGCAATAAGTTCGAATGAATTTGCCTTTGCCGCAAAAAACTATAAATATTCTCTCTGAAGTAGCTGAAAATGCACATACAATGCCGTCACTGGACACTTCAATGTTGGTCTATCTCCTGTCTATCTATGGAACATAACCCCCCATCACTTGTTGTGTCTTTTTTATATCTCCAATGATCTTCTCCAGATCTCTTTTGGTCCTCAGTGATAATTGTCGTTTAATAACAGGAAAAATTATGCTGCGCTATGATCGGGATAAGGCAATTGTGAAACTATTTTGCTATTTTTCATTGATGTAAACTACGTTTGACATAAGTAGAATATTAACAAAAAATGTCATTATCTTTTGCAAATTGCTAAATCTTCATAGATTTATCTTAATATTGTGTTGATGGCCACAAGATGTTTTATTTTTCTAGTGTGGACATTATTGTTTAAACCTTCCTACAAATGAATATGATCAAGTTTGCTTAAGTGAGGTACTGTTAGCGCCAACCAAAATTCCGAGGATTTTTAGAATATCTGATCTCCATGGACATTATAGATTTTTCAGAAAAGAACACAGTCATTTCCAATAAAGATAGAAGGAGAAAAAACAATCGAGTACAAATTATGTAGTACAAAATAGAGATTAAGGGTTTCCACATTGTTTTTATAATGGAGAATTTTCCAATGATGTATAAACATGCAATATAACAGTTTTTTTTTCTTAGAAAATTTTCTTTTGCAAGTTTGTTATTTCATGAAAAATTGACTCTTTAATTAATAACAATCATTTAATGCTTCCTTAATAAACAAACATAACAAAAATCAATATCAATTGTATATTATTCCAACATTTATTTTCATGATTTATTTCTTCGCTGACAGATCAAAATTGCATCCATCTACAAAAAAAAAGAACTAGTTTTTTTAATATCAATAAAGATGAACCAAGAACTAATCGTCCTTTTTATTTTTTTGTCAAATCAGCGACATTTTGTTTGCTTATGCACTTTTGTCTTCACACTGGATTTATTTGTGAAAAAAAAAAACGTTTTTCGAAAAGGAATCACAATTGTAAGTTACGGATGAATATAAATTTTATTCACTATTTATAAAAAAAAAGTTACCTTTCCCTGTTTCTGCACCATTTTATACATCGTGATTTAAATCTTCTACAGCAATACCAGTCCCGAAGCACTTGGTTACCCATGACGCTGATCTCATCGCATTTGACATTGTTCTCACCCATGTTGAATGCAATAATGAGCACAAGCAGTGTTATAATCTTTACGAACTTCATCTAGGTTACAAATATGGATAATAACGTAGATTCAAGTATTGAAAAATAAAGAAATCCGTATATAGTTATATCGGTACGGAAATCCTAAACTCAATTTGTAATGCACCGCATGGTTAATATCATGGTGACATCATTAAAATTTGGATCAATGGATGATAAAAGCCATTTTTACTCATATGCTATGATGATGAGTAATTTTGAATTCGAATTTATCTATTATGTCATTTTTTAAAATCAAAGCATGCATATACAATCTCTATCCGATTCATTCGATACAATACAGCTGAGTAGTCTTTTGATGTCATATATAACACGAGATAAGCGTTTATTTTTATCTGAGCCAGAGCAATTTGCCCCAGGGAGTGAATCTATTTTTTTTATTAACTACAGATTTGGTTGATTAAAAAAGAAATTTTTAAATTACTGAAAGTAAATCACTTATTCAAGAAACATTTATAGATAATCAATTCATTTATGCTCTGTAAAGTTGCACAGCGATAGAGAATACAATAGCTGAGTTCAATGCAGATGCTGATGTGAGAATAAAAAATATGTCAGATAAAAAATGTAATTTATTTAAAAAAAAAAGAAATCGTACCTTGATGCTTTTGTAGTCCTGCACTCGTTTTAATTTAATGAGATTAACATAACAAACGGAAACTTGATGCACGTTACCGGTATATAAAGAGGGACACCATAAGATGGATCACTTATGTGGCACGCGCATGAGATTTGTTT